GAGAAACATATTATAGAGACAGGACATAAAATTCATGTTCATACATCTTTTAAACCTATCCATCCATAAAACGTGTTTGGGGATGGCGTATATTAAAGTTTGTGGAAGCCCTAGCTGGTAATTGGGAAGTTTAAACCACCTTAATGTGTTCAAAAACAATTTATCATCACACTAAACCTTCCTTGATAAATTTTGTTTTGAAACCGTAGCAGATGTACTATTACCTCTGTTATTTGGTTTAGTGGTCTTCATTGTTATTTTGACCTTCAAATATGTCCTTTTAACATGACCTAAGTCTATTTTCTCACAACTTAACTCTTTATTATTTTCATATATATATTCCTATGATAAGTGTCCAGTGTGATCAGATTGTTCGAGATGTGTTGCGCGAATACATTACACCATTCAGACAAATTACGTCTTCTTATTGCTTTATCAAAAAACGTAATGTTTATTTGCTAAATCACAAATTGGTAGAAGTTAGAATTCATGCGTTGACCACCGAATCGGGTCCCGGTAGCTGAATGGTAGACAAGCGAACTTGCCTTGTGATCGGAAGGTCCTGGGTTCGAATCCCAGTGGGTGCGTACTGCTGATGATTCCCAAGCTGGTTTTCAGTGGTTCTCTAACTGATATCAATCCGTGATCAACTCGTAAAAACATAACTAACCCTTACAACCACTGGGACCCTATTCAATGGCTCGTGAATTCTAACTTCTACTAATTCGTGATTTAGCGCGACCCCAACCATTGTCGCTGGTGGGACATCCATCCACACACGTGACATCTAATTGGACCTCACTGGTCACGACTTCTCACTAGAACTCAGGAAACTCCAACCTGTAGCAAGTCACTAGCGAGCATCAGATTAACTTTCTATAGTTTGGTTTGTAAGGATTAGTTATGTTTTACGGGTTGATCACGGATTGATATCAGTTAGAGAACCATTACGAGCTTGCCTCGTAACCGGAAGGTGCCGGGTTCGAATCCCAGTGGGTACGTACTGCCGATGATTCCCAAACTAGGATGAAACAGCAGCTGTCCAGTACTCCCTGGTTTTCAATGGTTCTCTAACTGATATCAATCCGTGATCAACCCGTAAAACATAACTAATCCTTACAAACCAAACTATAGAAAGTTAACCCTTACAAACCAAATTATAGAAAATTAAATGTCAAACTGTTTGAAATCTCAGCTCAACTTGTTATCCATTCATTGATATAAAAGTATATTTTTGAATGAAATTCCACGAAATGGCAGTGGTAAAAGAATAAATTTATTACAATCTTAATTATACGCATGTGCCATACCACTGGATGACAGTGAAATTCATTGATTCTCACACTCTAGCTAGTCATGTGAACCCTTTTTTATGGTGTAAGCTGATCGGATATAAAGGTTTTATGATATAACTGACTTTTGTACATGACACAGAAATTTATATTACACACTGAAATAATACAGTTAGCGTCTCACTGACTTGGAGGATTGATATTTTGGAAGACTCGATTTTCTCAACATGTCCGCGCCTATTAGGATTACACTTCGAAATCAATAACGACCTTTTCACATTGCAAAAATTGCTAGCTCTAAGGTAATTAGATATGTTTCAGAAAAGTGAATTAAGCAATCGTGACGCCTACATGTGACTTAGTATTAGGATAAAGATACATGATCCCGTCGCGACGCTTTCCACAACCATTTCAGATATTTATGATTACTGACACAAATATAGAAAAAATTGATATTTGCATTCACTTTAGCAACATTCACAACAACAACAGCAGGAGCAACATCCAACGGCAATCACCATCAACGGGAGGGATCTGAAAGAGGTTACGTCATTCACTTCACTTATCCAGGAAGCATTGTCTCAACTACAGGAAGTCGGAACGGACAAGGATGTCAAATCGAGCGAGAATCGGGAAGGCCAGAAACACACACATTCATAAACCTGAAACCAATCTGGAAATCTTCGTCACTCAGCATCAACAATAAAATCCAGTCGGATTTTCAATACAAGTCACTTCTTCTATACAAATCAGAAACGTGGTGGGCGGGTCACAAAGAATATTTCCAACAGCCTGTTGCATATACAGACCTTTATCAAAAATTGTCTTCGCTGGATCTATACTGAAGATCAGATGGCCGGGCTGGAAGGAATCACCTACAAGAAACTATGGGAACAAACAAACAAAACAAGAACTAATCGCCAACCAATAAATATGCAAGAGAAAGTGAAGACAGATTGGACACTCACTCGATGAGGAGGCCGCTGGGTGACGTCTCGCGCGCTTGTCAGGCCATTCCTCGAGTGGAACCAGGTTGAGAAGGAAGCGGCGACTGGGACTTCCGAAGGTGACATGGAGGAGATCATGTGAAGAGGAGTTAAAACAGTATGGACTAATATGGATGGATGCAGGTGAAAAATAGAGCATAAGACAGACGTGCAGGTGAAGCCCCATGTTCCACTAGGAACCAAAGAGAACAATAATAATAATAGCAGGCCTGACAGAGTACATCAGAAACCCAATTAGCTCGTTGACTGTTGAAGAGGCTCCTTGCTATAGTTTATTCTATGAATAATACCCCATCCAGATATTGATGAAATAAAAAAATAAGTAGTTCAGAGGAGAGGCTCTTTTCGGTCAAATTCAATAAAAAGTAGGCAAGGACAACTCGACAATCAAAGAACTAAATAAGTTTTTGAAGTACAATAACACGTTTGTTGTAGTGAAGGCGGAAATCAACTTTTCCAACGAATGTGTCAGTAATGACGAATATCTGAAATGGTACTGGGAAGCCCTACAACGGAATAAAATATATCCTAATCTCTTAATATTCTTTGGAACAAGAAAATCAAAAGCTAACGAAAGGTCAAGAAATTATGCCAAATGTTGTATAAACAAGTACCAGTCCCAAATGAAGCGTAAATATTCGTTCGATACACCCGTTTGCAGACAAAAAACGCGTTCGATTTGTTTGCCTTTGGAACAAATGAATACGGAATAGGAGTTAATTTGTTCAGCAAGAAAAAATAAAATAATTAGAGGGAAAAATTGTTTTCAATAAATTCTTCTTTAGGCTATATATTTATAAGTCCACTAGTTTTGGAATACAATAGCCAATTAAAGGTACGTGAGAGTTAGATCAGGAAATGAATTGCGTGGAGTCACTAAAAGATGGAATAATATGGTCATTCATATGAACTATGATCGCAATTTCGCGGAATAGTTCCAAAATAATTGGGCACCGAATGGGCTTCTTGTCGATTGCCTCCAAACATCTAATAAAATGTAGCTATGACTCATTGGTTTAGGCCCTTGACTTCCAACCACTAGGTGACGGGTTCAAACACTGCATGCCACTTACCCAGGTTTGGACAAGCAGATGGGGATTGCTGGCCGCACACTCAACTTTCCCTCTTTAATGGATATAGCATCGGTTAAACAAGATTTTCCCGAGTTGATCACGGATTGATAACAGTTAGATAACCACGGAAAACAAGGGAGTACAGGACAGCTGCTGTTTCATCCTAGTTTAAGAATCATCGGTAGTACACACCCACCACCAGGGTTCAAACCCAGGACCTTCAGGTTACAAGGCAAGTTCGCTCGTCTACCATTCAGCCACTCGGACCCGATTCAACGGCCATCGCATGAATTCTAACTTCTACCGATTCGTGATTTAGCGCGATCCCAACCAATGTCGTAGGTGGGACATCCATCCTCGCACGTGACATCTAAATGGACCTCACTGGTCAAGACTTCTCACTAGAACTCCAGGAAACTAGGATGAAACAGCTGTCCAGTGCTCCCAGCTTGTTTTCAATGGTTCTCTCTAACTGATACCAATCCGTGATCAACTCGTAAAAACAAAACTAACCCTTACAAACCAAACAAGGTTTAACAATATGTCGGGCGGTTAATCAAAACTGGATGACATGCAAGTTAGCGAGCGTCCGTACCACTGAACCTCCAGCGCGCTCTCTGGTATAACAATGAGCAATAAACTGTCTTAGAAACTTAGCCAGAAAATAATACTGTAACACGGTGTTTTTATCAAAATAAAATTACTCTAATGTGGAATCATGCTTTACCACAGTTCCCAAATTTTATTCTTACAGTCCTGCTGTTGGAAACGACTTCATACGTCAACCTGTTATAGTCCGCCAGAATAGTTTTCAAGTTTTAGTTTGGAAGAATCTGATTGGTTGCAAGTTTGATTACGGATTGATATCAGTTAGAGAGAATCACTGAGAACTAGCAATGAGTACTGTATATTTGTTTCGACCTAGTTTGGGACTCTTCATCATCAGTACTCACCAATGTGTCTACCGGGGTATCGAACCCAGGACTTTGATTTTAACAAGGCGAACTCACTGATCATACAGCTACTGTTTAATAGAATTTTAGACTTTGCCGTCGATCGATTGGACCGAAGTGCTCGGTCTCAGGTTGACGTACCGGCTTTCGTCCTATTTTGGACTCGTCACTGGATGTATCTGCATTTTTCAGCGAGTGATGAAATGTGCATCCTGGATTCCACTGCTAGTCACTATCCATCAATTAGATTCTAATTAAATACTCAGACATCATCGAAGCATCTGCACAAGAAGCCGACATGTCAACCTGAGACCGAGCACTTCGGTCCAATCAATCAACGGGAATATCTAAAATTCAATTAAATTAATGTGACCCGTTGCACAAGAGGTGGCTCTCGTGGCCCAAGTGATCCAGTGAATAACGCTTTGGCGTTTGAAGCTATGGACACTGGGTGGTTTTGAGCCTCGGTGGGAACAACATCACTGACTCAGAGGGGAATGCAGGTACATACAGTTAACTGACAAGTTCAAAAAAGGACAAAATGCGCGTTATCCTGGATTTCATCACTGCTAGTTACTATCCACCAATTAAATACTAATTCAGCTACTGTGTTGAATAAAAAAGTCACGAACTGACAGAAAAAACAACAAAAGAAATACAATTAGTAATACTCACCTATAAAATCCTTCAGCAGTTAGTACACTATTTGAATAATTATCCATATAATACGAGCTATTGCCTTTAACAAAGCCTTCATTTTGTGATATAAGCTGAAGAGCATGATTAATTTGATTCGTAGGTGGAGGATCATTTGTTGACAAACTACGTGAGGATTGTTGACGTCTTGCACTACTGTCACTTGTCATTCTGTTATTACTGCCTCCATACGAGGACAGCCTGCTATCTGTTATATCGTTACGTAAAGGCATGTGTAGTGAAGAATCATTATTCTGTGCTTCTTCACTATACAAATCGGCTACAGCAGCACCAATATGTACAGGTATACGAAAGTTAACAATCAAATTGATAAAGTGTATAATCTGAGCATAGAGAGTACTTTCTTCACGTGTTTCTAAAGCCTGTTGTATTTCACGTGGACGTGTATTACCGATACGCATTTCTTCAGCAGCTATTTCTAATGATGACATATTTGATGTATAAATTTGTTGTTGAACTGTGACCTTTTTTAACGAACAAAAAAAGAAGTTGAAAAAGAAAATTAAATTAATACGACAAGTATAAGATATGAGCACTAACCAAAACGGTGAATTTAACACAGCAATTATGGCTTAGAGAACCACTGGAAAACCTGGGAGTACTGGACAGATGTTCCGTCCTAGTCTGTGACTCTTCAACAGCATGCACCGACTATCAGGGTTCGAACCCAGGACCTTCTGATTACAAGGCGAGCTCGTAGACCATTCATCACCCACTGAGACCCCATCCAATGACCAGCCCGTGAATCCTAACTTCTGCCAATTCACGACATAGTGCGACCATTTCACAATGTCTCCTTCGATGAGTTACTGCCTCACCTTCGACCTGCTGGTCACGGTTTCCCACTAAAACCCCAGGTTAACTGTCTGAATAGGGTCAGTCACTAGTGAGCATCAGATTGATTGTTAAGTGTTGTTGTGAATTGGTAGAAGTTAGAATTCAAGGACCATTGGATCAGGTCGCAGTGGCTCAATGGTCTACGAGCTCGCCTTGTAACCAGAAGGTCCTGGGGTTCGAGCCCCGGTGGGTGCGTAGTGATGAAGAATCCCTAGCTAGGACGAAATAGCTGTCCAGTACTCCCAGGTTTCCCAATGGTTCTTTAACTGATGTCAGCTCATGATGAAATCCTCCGTGCAATCAAACAAAATCTCTACAAAACCAATACTTGATAATTATGCCTTAATTACCTCTCCCACCTTAACACCTCCTGCATCCTACCACACTACATGGTATCGATTCCAAGACATCTAGGTGTTAAACATTTTCTAATTCCGTTTTCTTTGACCAGTTAACAGCAAGCAACACACACACTATGACGTCACGTTATTCACCTAGTGAGTGTAAAAAAGGGAAATACTTTAGACTAATCCTACAAAACTATTCGCATTCTGAAGGCGCATTAATCAGTCACACAGTTGAAGTAATTTATCTGTAGAATGACTATGTCAAATCGCTTTCACTACGATGCACCTACTGTTATTACTCAATAGGAATGACTCACAGTCATAGTTTTGACTTATTTTGATTCATTTTGTTTACTATTTTGACCTCAACAGAATACATATATACACACATACAAAAATCCATCAAACCTTGTTTGTTAATCTCTGCATAAATATTTTCTTAATGTGAGAAAATAACTTACTCCTGAAAATCTCTATGCATTTTTTTAACGATGAGAAGTTAGAAAGAATAGAGCATACCATGTTATATTCTAGTCTGTGTTACGCATACTGGATACATAGAAATGATGTGAGATCTGAGTTCTTCAACAAGATAATCTAGAAAATGGTTGTCTGGAGGAAAAGAATGAGGTGAGAGGGGGAGGGGTCAATCTAAAAGCTCGCATCAGTACATGAAGTCTTTGAAAGATGACATGAGTCTGTCTGGTGTGGGTCAACCGGATGCCGAGAACCAATGGCTCAATAGTGTTAGGCAATATGGTTTAAAAGTGTTCTCAAATGGTACAGATGCATTCATTCTTTGTGATCGTACACATCGACTACTAAGCTCTCGTGTTTTTCTCTATGTTACAAGATTTTCTCCCATATATTTCACTACGTTTGTGTACCACCTACAAGGAGGGTGCAGACTTGTAGTGATGCACTTCTGTGCAAAGTTCGATGTTTGAAAGTCAGTCAGTGAGTCAGTACGTGGAACAGCTTTCTTATATATTAGGCTATGAGCCACTCATATTGTGTGAGACCTGATGACAATACCTAATCATCCACACCAATAAAGCGGATAAAGCAAGATTAGAAAACTCTTTCCACTCTCCTTTATGGCTGGCTGTGGTTAGCACTCAACGAGGTGTGCAACATAGATGACACTGAAATAGAAACCAAGTCTGGTGATCTTTCCTGTTCGTCTCACATATTGGTGATTTCTAAGAAAATATTCCGTCTCACCTTCTACATCAAGAAGTTAAGACATTCGGGAATAACCCAACCCTTACTCCTACGATTCGTTAACTCTTGCATCCAGCCTATTATTCTCTATTGTTCCCCCTTAGTTTTTCCAGAGCTATTGAAGAAGGACTATATCTTATTACGCAGAATGTTAACGGTTATCAGCAGGGTGAGCGACGTGCCACTTAGCCAGCTTGTTAGTATCCTGGTTGACAGGCACCTGGACTCAAGTGAAAAATGGGCTAAATCTATTCTATCTAACTCACACCACCCTCTTCATTCACAACTCTCCACTTGTATCTCATCAGGCAGGACCAGAACCCTGTATAGAAAACTATATGCTCGCACTAGCATACTATACCCTACTTAGCTAGTGTTCTGTGCGATAAAGAAAGCATTAGGCGTAATACCTATAACTTATTAAATAGTCAGTAGAACAACTGGATCTCGTCTTTCTAACTCATATCATTTATAGGTTCAACGTTTTTTCCTTCTCTCTTTTTTTCTGTTATGTGCCGTTTTGTTTCTTTCTTCCTTACAAGCTCTATTTAAAACATTCTTCTTCGTTCTTTCACACTCAGTATATCTCGACCTGTTTGTTACCGCTTACGCCAGTTAATACGCCAGCACCTACTTTTCTAACACCTTCAAACACTGTTCACTTTTTGGCTTTGCTACCGACATGACAATATGATGTTGTCAAAATTAACTGAGACTACTCATAATCTATGTAGAATTTTAGTTATTGTTAATGTACAAACTGGATGCAATACTGTATGTGGTGAAATGCTGAGAATTCCATTCCATATCATAAGTACTGTTTTGGAATAAAGCAAATTATTATTATTATTAGCTACATGTCCACAGGAAGATAATGCATTGAGTTAATCTGAAAGTTAGAAAAGCTCAGAGCTTGAGAAAACAAATGTCTGATTGGCTACTTCTACATCGCACCGCTGAGAATTAATAATGATTATGGTCGTCCCATGCATACGTAAATTCAGTCATTATTACAGAATGGTTTAACGGATTTAACACAGTGATGATACATGTCCAGGATACAAATTGCTCCTAATCATCAGCTGATGACACACTAAAGATCAAATGACTTATCATGAACTCATGTCTGAAAATGATAGTATGGAATTTTTTTTTAATTGACACAGTAACAGTTTTTTAACGTGCATAATTATAGATATGTAGAGATAAAAGACAGTAATGGAAGCGCTTAAGAGAATTATTGACAAAAAGCGCATAAAAAACACCAGTTAGTACAGTTATTTGTCCGACTCGATTGTTTACAGGATTGAACATGAGATCATATCAACCAAAGAACCATTGGAGAACTGGAAAAGTGTTTCGTCCTAGTTTAGGACTCTTCAACAATGTACACCCATGAAACCCCCCACAAGGGTTCGAACCCAAGACCTTCCTGTTACAAGATGAACTCGTAAACTATTCATTCATCCACTGGGACTGAATCCTATGGTTCATGAATTCCAATGTTTGCAAATTCGCGATAGTTAGTAAAACTGTCAACCTATAGTCACTCGCGAGTAACTCTTCTCCTGCCTGGTTTGATTACCACTTCAGTTCATGGATCACTGCATCTAGTCCCAGTGGCTAAATGGTCAAAGAGATCGTCATGTAACAGGTAGGTAGGTCCCGGGTTCACACCCTGGTGGGGTCATGTGTGTGCACTGTTGAAGAGTTCCAATCTAGGACGAAACATCTGTTTTCAGCACATGCTGCTTCTTTTTCCAATAGTTCTTTGACTGATTTCAGCCCATGATCAATCTTGAAACAATAATCGTTGATGACAACACCCGTGCAATCGATTTCAAAGTAAAAAATAATCACAACCGTAAAGGCACATATCGATGATGAAAGTAAATATGATAACACTATACAACAATGGTGTGATATTTATTGGAAGTAGGTCAATCATTTATTTGATCAAACACGAAGAGTGTGATTTTTTATTATTAATTCCACCTTCTATGAACAACCAGCCAAACGTACGTACATAGTCTTAAATTAGTGTTCTAATAGGGTTTTTATTTCACCCAGACTGTCGAAGTCTGACGGCAAACATCACTATTGCAAATAACTACTGAGAGTGATAACTGCAACCTCAATATGGTGTTCAGGATAGGATATGGTGAACAGCCTGAAAATCTAAACTGGTTGGGATCAATATTCCTAGAGGACGTACCATTCCAGACAGGTCGCTTCGATAGAGTTTAAACTAACAGTATTTGCTATCACCGTGTAATTCACTCACACTATATGGTGAGACCTGAGAGAGAAGTCGTATTCATGGAAAAAGTGTTACCTTGAAAGGTGTTACACACAAACCTACTATGTTGATCCTCCACACTCAGATGATAAGGGGATAGCAAAAGTCAACCCCAGATATAGTACATACCGACTCATCTCGAGGCAGTAGCACCTCATAACACTGACACGATTTTTGATAACCACTTCGAACACGTCGCGTGAGACCGACTTCATTCACACTAATCCTGTTTCAATTGTAGGTATTCAAAGGCAGCAGAAAACTAAGAACTGCTAGTACATTTCCATAAACACAAAACGATTTCTTAATTAGCATCCGCCTTCACCAGTCCGTTACCACAATTGACTGTAGGAACTACTGATGTGGTATCAACAAGTCTGAGGAAATAAAAGATCATAGGAATGATACCTGGAAAATATACTTACTACAGAAATCATGTATAATAGTGCCCTTATAGAAGGATGTCTAGTCTAAATTGAATTCAGTCGAAGAGTTCCGCAATATAGTCACACAAATACCGCTTATCCTACATGGTTGGAGGAAATCGGCCACAAGAAGTCATAACCAACCTAGGTTTCGTGCTTGTTGGCACTCAAAAGGAACTCATTTCCCTTCTATGATTCGAACCCGTGTCACATGCAGTTACAGACATCACCACCATTGAGCTATTTGGGCTCACGATTGACTTCGTGTAAGACTGTAGTTGATATTATAATTGGACAAAAGGAGGACATGTTAGATTGTGTGCAATCGTAGAGATAGCTAGTTGAATAGGACAGCAGAGAATAGAACAAAGCGGAGATGTGTTGTGATGCCCTATGTTCCGCTCGGAACCCAATGGAATAATAGTAATACTGACAGACGAAAACTTCAGTTTATGATAATTAGTTAGGCATGCATAAGTGAGATATTAAAGATTCCCGTAATCATATTTAGACTAACGTTCCTATTAGCCTTATATCATATGTTCCCAATATAATAAGCTGGTAATTTCACGATACCTTAAAAAAAATAGCCAGAGCTAGATTGACTAACCCTAGATAAAAGCTCAACTATTGCAATGAATTCACTGGTATGGAATCTGTCTGTCTGCCTGTCTGCTTTCGACATAGAACTTTGCACCGATATGCACCACTTCAAGTCGCCACGCTACATGTAGCACACAAAGCAACAGAAGAAAGTAGAAGAAATGCGAAATCGAGACAGTAAACAGAGATATGAGGCAAAGGAATAGTAGTAACGAAGAACAATATAGTTTCATTAGGCATAATAAGTCACAAGGAGTGGTTGCATCTGCCCCAGCCATTGAGAACAATCATTTTGAGCCATAACACCAATTGTTTCCAACCATTGGCTTTTAACGTCCCGAGGACACCAACCAGTCAGGAAGTCTACACCTTCCTACGTGGCTGCCTGGCTTAAACTAACTGTTGTGGATTTCATTGACTGGTGAAGCCCATGTTTTGGTTTGACCACAACGTGCTAGCTCTTTTCCAGCCTGACCCTATATCCCCTAACATTGCCCGTCCGTCAAGGAAGGCGATGACTATGCATACGTAACACATGTCCTAACCATCTCAGCCGATGTAATTCGACAGCCTCGTCGATTGATTACCCCTCCCACCTGCCTAGCACTCGACGCCTAACCTCAATATTGCTCCCCTTATTATACCACTTCACATGAGAGACAGAACTCAGGAACCTGTGATCAAAGACAGCTAGCCTTTTCATGTATTCCACTCTCAATGGTCAGGTCTCGTAGCCATAAAGGAGGACGGAGCGAAATGCTGAGCAGTTTCCTCACTTTTTGGTCGAATGCCGGATATCACGTCTATGCCAGAGACGGAGTAAACTGGCATTTGCGAAACTAGCCCTGTGAATCCGTACTGAGATTTCGTCAGAGATCAAGCAAAATGACTGAAAATCAAGGCGTAGTGGACAGGATCTTTTTTGTTGCTCTATTTCGTGACTCCTCGGCAGTGTACACACTCGTAACCCCATAGGAGTTAGCGAGTCAATGGATACACGTTTCTGTGAACTCCTCCAAGAAGAAGAAGTAAGCATTCGAGTATTAGGATATGTTTGTTAACCAATGCAAAGCCTAATTCTTCGTAGAAGAAAGAATAGCATCAAGGATAATGGGAAGAAAACTTACATTCGATGATTTCTGATTACCACTACGTCCAACAATAACGATGGATATTCCATCATTGTCAGGAGACGATGGACTTTTACCCTGTTTTTTAACACTACCATTTGCCGCTGATGATGCATGACCATTAGGCAGATTCCCAACATGATTTTGATTGGAATGATGAACATCTTTGGATTGCTGTTGTTGTTGTTTGTGAGCTTTCAGTTCTTCTTCAGAAAAATCAATATATAACAAACGTATCTGATTGTTAACTTGTTCGTTAAACACACTCTCCCAAAATGGCATATGACGCCAGATATCATGATGTTGAATTTGATGACTCATATTTGCATAATAACGAACATTCTCTAGTTCCTGTACATAGATACACAGAAAAACACAGTGAAAAACCGGTGAAAAGAGTGATAAAAGTTTTAATTGACAATAACGTACAGGAATATTTACTAGACTATAAAATATGTCACTGATATCTTCTCATCAATAAACACTAGTAACAGTCGTGGCATGTGCTACTGATAAGATTTTTCAGTAGTATATAAAGGGACTTTCATTGGCACGAAAAATATCAACTAGCGGCAAGATAGCTTTGATTTCACATACAGGAAATTTACCAGTCTGGCGACAAAACATGGGAGACACAAAAAGAAGATAAAGAAACAAAATACGAACGAAGGACAGAAGTAGCGCAACACGGAAGATCTGTGCAAATGGTGATTTGGAGATAAGATGTACATGATTACCTTATATAGAGGTTATCATTATTATTATTACTATTATTGTTCCCTTGGATTCCTAGTGGAACATAGGGCTTCAACTCCACGTCCCCACTTGCTTCTTTCCTCTGCTCTACTTTTCACCTACATCCATCCATGTTAGTCCATACTGTTTCAACTCCTCTTCACATGATCTCCCCCACGTAACTCTTGCACTGAAATCCCACTCGCCGCTTGCTTCCCTTTCGACCTGGTTCCACTAGAGCAATAGCCTGACGCGGGCGCGATATCACCCGGCGGCCTCTTCAGTGGGTGTCTTATCCATCTCCACTTTCTCCTGCATGCTTGTTGGGTGATTGGTTCTTGTTTTGTTTGTTTCTTCCCATTGTTTCTTGTTGGTGATTCTTTCCGGCCTGGCCATCTGATTTTCAGTATAGATCCAGCGAAGACAGTTGTTGGTTGATGAAGGTCTGCAACAGGCTGTTGGAAATATTCTTTGTGACCCGCCCGCCAAGTTTCTGATCCGTATAGAAGAATCGACTGACTTGACGTTTGTATTGAAAATCCGACCGAATTTTGTTGTGGATGCTGAGTGACGAAGATCTCCAAATTGGTTTCAGTCAGGTTGATGAATGTGTTTCTCGCTCGCCTTCTCGATTCTCGCTCGATTTGACATCCTCGTCCATTCCGACTTCCTGTAATTGAGACAATACTCCCTAGATCATTGAGTGAATGAAGTAACCTCTTTCAAATCCCTCCAATTGATGGTGATTGGCGCTGGATGCTGCTGCTGTAGTTGTTGTTGGTTATTTTCATAACCTCCGTCTTGCCTATGTTCACTTGGAGTCCTGTCTTCGCCGGCTGCTTCTTCGACCAGTTTGTTGGTTTTCGCTCGCTTGTAAGTCTTCGATTTTGTGTGACATCAAACATAAATCATCCACATGCGAAATCCAGGTCTTCTAGGTTCTTCACGTCGGTCGGTCCAGGATAACCCTGTCTTCTCGTTTCCCACTGTCTGACGCATACTCCAGTCCACCACAATTAGGAATATCATTGGTGATAATAAGTACCCTTGTCTGACTCCTGTGTTTACTCCAAACGCCTCGCTGAGTTTACCGTTGTGGATCACTTGACATGTGCCGTTGTCGTACACTTGTTGAATAAGGTTGATGAATATTTGGAGTACAACATAGTACTCGAGTAGTTTCTAAATTACTTCGCGGTCAACGCTGTAGAAGGCCTTCTCAAAGTCTATAAAGTTGAGGTAGAGGTGTGATTGCTATTCCATGCTTTGTTCTGTCATGATGATGCGTAGAGAGGAGTTGCAATTTGGTCAGTATATGATTTGCTTTTCCTGAATCCAGCTTGTTCTGGTCGAAGTTCTGTATCCAGTGCGTCCTTTCTTCTCTCCAGCATGATATATATATATATATATATATATATATATATATATATATATTAAATGCCAAATAGACACTCCGTTACCAAGTCTCGTGTCTTCTACGGTTACTCACTGACTGAACATATAAGTGAAATCAATGAAACCTAAAGGAGAAACAATTCTATGTCGCTCAAATGCCAATTATAATTATTATATTATTATTGCTAAAAGACGTTACTTTACGAAACAAAAGAAACAGCACTATGTTCACCACTGATTATGATCCTGAGACATATCTGTGTCTTCACTCATTGATATGCATTAACTCTCAGACCCTATCTAGAGAGTTGTGATGTATCAGCAGATGCTAACACAACTATCCTTCATCCCACGGTGCCACGTCATAAACCAACTACTCCCTCGCATTTTCCACCCTGTCCTAACGCTAGTAAACAGCGAACGATATGATAGTCACTAGTTAGAACATGTCCCAGCAACCGAAGTTGCTGTTTCAAGAAGACGACATCTACTGAACGAATGACGATCATACACGCGGAGCCACTACACATCTTCAGTTCGCAAAGGCCAGGTTTCACAGGTCTGCAGCAAAACTGTGCACACTGAACGATTGTTAACCTAACCCTTGACAGCTAGGTTGACGTCACGACAGCTCTAGAGGTAGTCCACATTGGTTATTACGCCATAGCTTTCACTATACAGTTAGATATCGTATTCGTCACACTTACGCTATTCACACAACTATCTAAGCGATGAATGCATGTTCAGGCTATTGCTTATTTTGCAACAATACCTTGCAATTTGATGAGGTAGAGCCCAATTCGTAATTACAGACACTGGTTGGCCTACTGATAAAGTGTTATTTAAACAGCCTGCATATCCTTAGCAAACTCGAGGTCAAACAATCCTTATCTAGTCACTAAATCTACACTATCACCACACGCATCCATCAGGATTGCCTCTAGAATGTAACAGACGGGCAAACTTAAAGACTTGATTTACCTGCATTCAATTAAGCATCAATTTAGAGGTTACAATACTCGCCAACCATGGACATGGTCCAGGGTTCGATCCCAGGGTGAAGCACTCCCTAACCTCACTCAGTCTGTAGGTGAGCCCAGTAAAGAGGGAAGACTAGGCGTGAGACGATCAACACCACCCCACTAAAGAGAAACACTACTGCTACTGAAACTTCAGAGCTCAAAGTTTGAAGCTCCATTTTCCAGTGAGAACGTAAAGAAATAAAATGAAAACGAATAAAAGCCGTTTACACTTCAACATGAAGTTGAGGCTAATAATTTCTTTTAAATACACAGTCACGAAGTTTGAATACCGCCTCACTAACCACAACTGGTAAAATTAACCTTCACACAATCAGTGTACCTTATTGTAAGTCATGCTGTCGACATGCTTGCTTCCAACTTCTCATGAACTGATGCTACAATCATAGTTCATCTTTCGGTCAACTAGGTTGCAAAGTCACGATTGGCGTCGTAACAGCACTTTACGATTTCTGAAGTAACATTTGTGCTGATTTACCTTTTACCAACAGACGTAAATGAGAGAAAGACAGGAGTATCACCTCACCGGTTACATGCAAACATGAATTTCGCACTTATTATTACATTAGCATTCCCTTGGGTTCCCAGAGGGACATTGAACATTAACAGCACATCTTCCTTTCACTTCGTTCTCACCAGTGTCTTTTAGTTGGCTCCATGATCGTCCATAGGCTTTCATCCCTCCTTCACATCATCTTTTCCATGTCACCTTCGGCAGCCTAACTAGTCGCCTTCCATTAAGATTCACTCGAGGGCCTAGAGCGGGATATTAGTCAACGGTCTCCTTAGCTAACTTTCATATTAGGTTAAAAACCTGTCTCCTATATTGAGTACTATATAAATGTATCAATATTAGGAAATACTCCTAAATGACCCAGGATTAAAAAAACCTAAAATACCTGGTGTAACAAAAGGAAGACAAGAGACTTGGTAATGAACCTTTATTAAGGAAAAAACACGTCATATTAGCCGAATTTCTAGTCACATTAAAGTCCAGCTACATCAAAGGAGAATATAACATAACAATTTCGCTTTATTCCAGAAACAGTACCTGTGGTACAGTGTGGAATTTTCAGCACATATCTACAATATTGCGTCTAATTTCATCGTACATTTAAAAGGAGTATTACGGAAAAATAAAATATATAAAAAAACACAACAAAAAAAACAAAAAAGAAACACAGAAATAACAAAAAAAAACAACAAAAATTGTTCTGATTGCTTAGCAATTGACCCAGGGTTACACAAGTTGTCCAATTAGGTTATTCCATGCCCACAACGCAAAATTTAATCCAGATTAGAAGAATAAACACCTCGATCTCTGAAGTCACCAACTTAAAATGTTGATTCCGGATCTTTGACCGCCTCCTCACAATCTGTATCACATTATGCTGGCGAAAAGTGTATTATTCACTCCATCATAAAGTATAAATCATCAACAATCACATATATGTGTAATATAATATAAAAAATATACACTTACAGTACACAGTCTAGTGCTTAAATCCATAATTATCGGAGTAATTCCACTGTCTTTTGATTGTGTCTCTTGTCTTAATGCCTCGTCTAATAAATCAACAATTAGCTCAAATTGTTCCCAGGTTAATACAGCTCGTTTATCATAAATATTTCTATCAACTACCATATTGCCAACAATAAAATCATTGATTGCTTCACTTGGTGACATAGATGCACCTCCAGATGATGAAGACTCTGGGACTAGATAACGACGTAATTCATCGACAAATAGACGTCGCATTGGTCGAGATTTTAAATCTTGACGAATTGTATTCCGTCGCTAAGATGAAAAAGTTAGAAGGGGAAAGAAGGTTGAGGGGGTGGGTGGGTTGGTTAAATAATTATCATCATAAAATATTGAAACAAAGCTGGAAAATAAACTAGAGAGTATAAAAATATGATAAGCCTTTAAAGGCGCTTGAGCCAAGAATGCTATAATCCTATTAACAAGGATAATTTCTCGAAATTTCTGCTTGGCAAACTTCGTTTTATGTGACAGATTAACATTTTTATAATATTTTTTGATATCTTCTTTTTCATAAAATAATAAGAAGATTATCTTGTATATAAATAATATTATTTTGACCTCGAAACATAGTTAGCCGTTTTTTATCGTAGATTTCAAATTGACTTATTTATGCTTGTACTTACTTTCATGATAGATATTCTTACAGAATTTTGCTTCTGTGGGTTACACTTCAATTCCTTCATATTTTGTAAACTGAAATATTATACTCAGCAATCATATGTAATACGATAGTCGGAGGCAATCGGTCACAGGGAGCCCTGTCTAGACCTAGGTTTCATGTTAGTTGGCACTCACCAGTCAGTCAGTAAGACGTATCTGCAACCATGTCCTTCCTCCTGAGGTTCGAACACGCCTCAACCAGTGTGCTGCAGTCAGAGACGTTACTCCCATCGAGCTATTCGAGCTAACGATTGACCTCCTGTAAGGCAGCATTGGATACTTCTATTGGACTCTAGTAATCAGTGTAATGTGTCTAGTCCCTTCTTCAGTGTAGATTGAATGCTGTCAGTCACGTTTGCAATGTGGCCACCGTTCTAGAAGGCTAGCCATAAGGAATATGAGTTCCTTCAGATACACCTTGCTGACTGACTGGTGATTGCCAACTAACACGAAACCTAGGTCACGCAAGGCTTCCTGTGGCTGATCGCCTCCAACCATCTAACATCAACAATTCAGAATGCACCGTGATGTCCAGCCACCTAGAATGATGGTAAACGTGACTGATATAATTTAGTCTGCAGCAAACAGATGACTAGACACTTTACGCTAATTGCTAACTAGTGTCTTATCAAAATCATGTGAAATTTAAACAAAGCAAAAACAACAAATGTTTGTAAAGAATAATATGAAGCCATCGTTACTTATTTCGTTGTCCGATTCTCTTCATCTGCTTACAACCTAAAAGTTGATCGTGTAATAATTGCACATAGAATTTTGTCATACTTGTAAGGCTGAGAACATGATTTGTGTTAACAGAGCCATACATGATAATACACAATATTCAAAAATTTTCAAGTATTGGTGTTGTAGGGATTTTGTTTGACTGCATGAAGGATTTCCCCATGAGCTGACATCATTTACAGAACCACTGGAAAACCTCGGAGTACTGGATAGCTATTTCATCCTAGTTTGGGACTCTTCATCCCAATTCAGGCAGTTAACCTGAGGTTCTACTGGGAAGCCGTGACCAGTAGGGTACAGCAGGTTGAAGATGAGGCAGTAACTCACTCATCGAAGAAGACATTGCGAAATGGTCGCACTATGTCGTGAATTGGCAGAAGTTAGAATTCAATAACCATTGGAACGGGTCCCAGTGGCTCAATGGTCTACGAGCTCGCCTTGTAATCAGAAGGTCCTGGGTTCGAACCCTGGTGGGTGCTTACTGATGAAGAGTCGCAAACTGGGAGGAAACAACTGCCCAGTACTCCCAGGTTTTCCAATGGTTCTCTAAATAATGTCAGCTCATGATGAAATCCTCCATACAGTATTGAGAAGTTCCACTTATATAACTTACGAAGGGGCTCAAAGTTAAAAAAATACAATCATGCAAAATTAATGGTCGAAAGTAATAAAAATTTAGTTGCACAGTCATGACAACAGGAACAAAGTTGATGACGAGTGATAGTGTAGTGAATTTAACTCAAGTCATAGAAGTGAAAAATAACTGGATTCCACCAAAGCAAAAAAGTTGGACGGGGGGGGGGGTTAAAAGCAGAAGATTATGTAATCAATCGAGACGAAGAAATTAGACGTTGGGTTACCAAGGTAAGGAGAGACTAACAAGTGAATCTTTTCAAACACATAAATCAGGTTTTAAATGTTTCATAGCGATTGCTTCGGCAAATTTGACGAAAGTTGAGTTACACTATTCATTAATAATCTTGAAGAATTTCACAGTGCCCACCTAATGAGCCATATCAACAAGATGTCTGGCAATAGCAATGTTCAAAGCATTTGTTCCCTTAAAACGTAAACGTTTTGGTACATGTTTAGAGAATCTCAGATATGACCATTTTTCTGTTATCTCAATGTAACTGCTCTCGCAGACATACGTAAATCTATATACACAATTACAATTAACATGGGAAGGGTATCTATCAACATTTGATTGCACACGAAAGCTTGTTGTTCGATAAACGGGAGCCAGTTTGGCTGAGGATAAGTTCCGGCTAGATAAGTTTTCAATCTTCTGTCGGCTTTTTCTGCAATACTACCGTCTCTAAAATCGAGTTGGATGAAGACAGATTTCTGAGTAATTGTAGTTTGTTTCACCTCTAGATTTTCAAATCCTCCGTACATTTTGATGAATTTTGGAGGATAACAATTATCTTTCAGGACTTTCTCAATGCTTAGGAGTTCTTCCAGTAGTTCTGTGTAGCATATTCTTTTGGCTCCGTAAAATAGAGCTTTGAATAGTGTTTGTTTATAGCTGATTGGACAAAAACTACTGAAATTTAACTATATAGTTCATTCCATGTGGATTTTTGGTGAATGGATCTTCCCAGACTTCCATCTTCCAATAATATGTAATTCTATCCAGCTGGTAATCCAGCTACACTTACTGCGTATACATATGTGGGGGAGGGGTCTAGCGATACTATCTGACTACCGACCAGACCTCATCAGTTAGTGGCACAGTGGTTAGGACTCTCGCCGACCATGCACATGGTCTGGCGTTCGAGCCCACGCCGGCGCACACCTGATATCTATGGTCGGCCTGCAAAATTTCTGCTACCGATATCCATGCTGATAATTCCATACTTGTACCAAAAATACAGTGTGGAATCAAGCTGTAAATCAAAAAAAAAATTCACACACACACAAAACACAAACTTGGTACATAATGAGCACTATCAGATACGCTAGATAAAATCTCAAAGTCTGCTCAAATGCTAGGTTACTGCTCAGCCTCCCTGACACAAGCAGGTGGTTTTCTCAAGAGGCCACCCCAAGCTTATCACTTGAAGTCTCATCTACAAGGCAGTCAAGCATCATCACGATCTATGTTCTTATGGATGACGTCGACCAAAACAAAACAGGTTCATACGTCATTCAATCCTTTCGGATTCTGGAGTCTACGTACCCCAATAGGTTCAGAGTCAGGGTTTCCCAGAGCCCCTAGGCAGACATCCATGTCGACCGGTAAGTGCCAGACGTTTGCATCCCCCCCCCCACCCAATTTTAATGAGAAACACCTCTATCGCGTGAAGGCACATCCATATGAGGGCATTTCTAGAGGAAAACTAAAGTCTACTTACTTATACCCTAGGAGCGATGTTCGAACCCGTGTGAATCAGTAATTGATCATTGTGGGCCTGCCATTTTATAAGCCTAAGCTTTTTATGTTTATAAGAAGATAATACCATATATCGGTAACAGGTGACAGTACATCAACTCACACGCATACCTAAAAAGTCTTTATAAAATGAAATTATTTATTATTTCTTTTGAATTATAAAACAACTTGAATACGTAATTTACCAAGTGAGCTATAAATATAAACTAGCATGACAGTTAACCTTAGCATTTCTTTTTTGGCTTTAAGATGAACACACATAATATGACTTATTGAATCAGTGTAAAGTTGTGTGATTGTGTGAACAAGTGATACTTGATTATTATTAATAATAATAATAATGCAATGTCAATAGAAAATAGGTAATAGTCAGGTGAAAGCATATTGAAGTGCATATTTGCATTAGGTGGTGATAGAATCACGTGATTCTATCTCAAAAGTAAAAAAACACGTTGCTGTAATAGCTATTGATTATGTGCATATACTGATGAGACAATATTCTCACTGCACTGAGTCTTAATGCTTCCACCTTCTTCGATAAGAAAAATTCCTCCAGAATGAAAGGAAATAATCACAGTTATTTCGTGGTATAGACGATGAGTCATACTGATTATAAAGATAAAACTTGGGCAGCTTGCAAAGAAGCAAAAAATTAGGCAAAAAAGTTTTGTGAGCAAGTGACTTGATATGATTATGAGCAACAATAATTTGTGCTTGAAACGTCATCAATAAATATTAGTGTGCCATACTGTGTGATTTATCAAAACAAAATCTTATCTATAATGGAGTTACACACTCTACCACAGTGCCCAAGTTTTATACATATAACATCTAAAATGAAAGCATGAATATGTCTGCCTTTGATTTAGCTTGGAGCTGAGGTTCGATGATCCAGGAAGGTGACTGACTATACAATCATCAGTGAGTTAAGGCTTCAAAATCCACTTGACGTAGCGAAGATTGGGTAGACCCCCCACCCCCGGTTGTATAACCAGCCATCAAACACACAATAGGTGCGGTTCATTGCCAAATGAATGGAATCGAAAGTGATCACGGAGGAAGACTGGCTGATTGATTGATTGATCGATCGGACTAAGTCTACTCCCTTTTCGGTGTCCATTAGATGATGAAAACCCGTATGATAAACATATTTTTTGTAAAGTTTTATAATATATGGCCAGAGCAAGTATAATATATATCAAATGTTGATCCGTAGGGATTGGACTGACTTCAAGTTTGATAGTGAACTGACATCACTAAGCGTGATGGACAGCTGGTTCGTTCCAGCTTGGGTCTCCTTAGACCTATGTACCCATATCATTAACACAGGACCGAACCCAGAGGCTTCAGGTTACTAGGGAGGACGAGTTCACCATCTATTCATTGGGAAACAATCGCAATGGCGAACTAGCACAAATGAAAACTGTATGAGCCATCGGATTCCGTTCCAGTAACT